CATTCTGGGGCCGCAACGCTCGGGTGCACGCGTCAAGAGGAAGGGCGGGGGCCGACGCGGAGGCCCCGCGTGCCGTTTGCAGGGGGGCTGGTATCATCGCGGCGGCGCGGTGGAGTATTCATGGGCGGGAGATGTCGGCGCAGCGAGCTCAGCAGCCGTTGTCACCCAGCAGGCCCAGGAGATATCTGACCTGTGCAGGAGGCTGGATTCCCCCCACGAGCTCAGCCACGAGCAATCAGATGCCAGCGCAATCCCCAGCAATGGGCAACGCCGATCCCGCTCCTATATGATGCGGGGACACCTGCAGTCAACGCTCCTTCGATGCAAGGCGCGGGGGCACCTGCTGCCCATGCGATGCCAAATCCCTTCAACAACCCACTGCTGGACCGCCTAGAACAGCAACGACAACAGGCGGGTGCAAGACACCACCGCTGCCCCCCCTCGGCCACTGGATCCCACATCGAACGATGCGGTCTTGGAATAAGCAGCGGCTGCACATAGGGCAATGTGTGGGCAGCCCGCAGCGTTCATGCTGCAGGACGCAGTTCCCACCACTTTCGAAGAAACGCATGCACTGCCCGAGCCGCTCAATACCCGGAGGTGCGTCGACTCGGCAGTTGAGCGCGAGCCTGCCGCAGTGGAAGAAGTGGATGTCTTTATGGGCACTTGGTATCCTGCGACTCTAAACCTGATGAGGAACCAGTTCATCGCCCACCAGAGGAGACTCAAAAGGCAGATGGGCGCGGAAACATGCAATCTCGACCGCAGCCGGCATCCACCATGTGTATTCAGCAGGCAGGCTCAAACTTTTGGTTCTTATTGAACTCAATATGTCGGAGGGCATCGGATCGAATCTCAACGTCATCGGAATCATCGCACCACGGGCGTTCGACAACCAATCCCGCCAGCATGGACACATGCCGGAGGCATGAACCTAGAGAGGCTGATGTGCGCCAACGGAGTTGGCAGTGGCGCAGCCATTTACCGGACCCTGGCCCACATCTGGAGGAGGCGAGGGACTGGCCCACAGGGGGCACCAATACATCGAGGGCGGCCACGCCCAGAGAAGTTTGGGGCAATATCCCGATTGCGGAGGACAGGCCACAGGTCTTCTTCATCGGATACCCTAGCTCGTCGTCGCACAACGACGCCGAGCAGGGCACCAGCGGGGGAAGGAGTTACTCGAGCGACGAGACGCCGGGTATCCCGCCCCATATTGACGACCCCCGTTGATGGGGGCAGGCGGGCTTTCTGGCCAAGCCTGCTTGCCGCCCCAAATGGGACCAGAGGCGCGGGCGCGTGCCACGCGACGAAAAACAGCGTGCACACACGCCCAACAACAAAACGCTGAGTCTTATCATTCTAAAGCTTTGGTTACAGAAGACATGCGCACAGCTACCGCCGAATTGCGCCGCCGAGGATACAGGTGTGATCGTATTATCCATAACGAGGTAATCGCATCGCTGCAGACACCAAATATCGGAGTCATGTTCTCTGGAGACGACGTGTTGCAATTGGTGGCCACACCCACTGACTGGCATGTTAGATTGCCTGGCAGACGGGTTGGACTCCGCCATGATCGAGCACGTAATCTCCGAGCTAAAGCACATGCTCTCAGGGCTCAGGGCGAAAAGAGTCATTATGGGACCGCCCGCGTATTTCTGGAAGTTAGCTCCAATACGAGACGCGCTCCAATTCCTGAAATTCAGAGAGATCCGGATGCGTCGCTGCCGTTCCGATATTGATTTTAATCGTTTCGCTCATTCCGCCGGCCCGTATTGGTGCACGGCTGTCAAGTGCCCGTGTGGTCGTTGTCAATGGGGTGTTGCTGGGACGTTTTTTGTTTATGGATGGCTGTCTTTGGGTGATTTCGCAGACGGGAACCATTATTTGCCCGCCTGAACCTTCAGTTTCGGATGGTGGCGGCTGGTGAATACGATCGCAGGGAACAAGACAACATTCTGCAGTTTCCTTTTTGCATTCTTCGGGCCCCTTGTCGCTTGCTGGGGCCTCTTAGGAGCCTCTTGGGGCGTCCAGGAGGCCTCTTGGAGCGGAAGGCTCGGATTTTCGGTTCGTGGTCTCCATTTTGGGCCTCTCTTGGGGCCCTCTTGGGGTCCTTTTGGACCGTCTTGGGCGCCTCTTGGGCTGTCGTGGGGCTCTCTTGGACGGTCTTGGGGCTCTCTTGGAGGCCTCTTGGGCCGTCTTGGGGTGGTATTGGAAGCTTCTTGGACCGTCTCGGAGCGTCGGAAAGGCGAAAAGGCGAGGAAGCCAAAAACCTTGGAAAACCCAATGGAAATCAATGGTTTTGGCGCTCTGAGGCTTCGTGGACGTTCATTGGGATCTCGTTGGATGCCTCTCGAGGGCTTCTTCGAGACTCTCGGGAATCGCTGTCGAGCCTCTTGGGGTCTCTTTCGGGCCCCTTGTCGCCTTTTTGGGGCCTCTTGGGGGCCTCTTGGAGCCTCCAGGAGCCTCTTGGAGCGGAAGGCTCGGGGGCGCTCTTGGGGTCCTTTTGGACCGTCTTGGGCGCCTCTTGGGCTGTCGTGGAGCCCTCTTGGGCGGTCTTGGGGCTCTCTTGGAGGCCTCTTGGGCCGTCTTGGGGTGGTCTTGGAGGCTTCTTGGGCCGTCTTGGAGCGTCGGAGACGCGAAAAGGCGAGGAAGCCGAAAACCATGGAAAACCCAATGGAAATCGGAAATCAATGATTTTGGCCTCTGGTGCTCTCTTGGAAAGGGTCGGGGCTCTCTTGGGACGTCTTGGAAGCTTCTTGGGTTGTCTTGAGGCCGTGTTGGGCGTCTTGGGCCGATCGTTCGGTGATTCGGAACCCTCTTGGACCGTCTTGGAAGCATGTTGGGGCCCTCTTGGCGCGCTCCGGGGAGCGTGGCAGGCCGCACCCAGGAGGAACATCTCTGACCCGAGTTTGCCGGGAGTGTCCCGGGACCTTGCTGGGGACCCCCTGGGGCCGCTCCGCGCGCGCGAAGTATAGAGTTATTGTTAACCAGTTACCGGAGATTTTAGCACGCCTCTGGCCCGTTGGGCCGGCGAATTTTGATCGTGCCAACGAGGGACCTAGCTGCTCCTATATACAGATGGCCGTCTTGTGGCCCTCTTAGGCCGTCTTGATGCTCTCTCGGGGGCCTCTGTCGCCGTTTCCGGGCGATCGTGGGAGTTTCGTGGGCCCTTTTGGAGCATGGGAAAGCCGAAAGGGCGAGACGGCCAAAACCATTCAAACCCTTTCTGGAAAGTCAATGGTTTGTGCCTCTTGGTGCCTTCTTTGGACGCCATTTGAAACACTTTTGGAATGTCTTCGGGGCCTCTTGGGCCGTGTTGAGGCCATCTTGGGCGTATTGGGGCCATCTGAGGCCTTCTCGGAGGCATTGTCGGCCCTCTTGGGCGTTTTGCTGGGTCCATGTTTAGCTGGCTGCGCTACCAGAGGACGCGCGCGCCACGCCTGGGGAGTCCCAGGGGATCCCCGGAAATTTTGGATAATCCCTGGACATCCCAGGAAATCATAGTGAAACCAGTCCCTGAAAACCTTTTCATAACTATACAGTTCTGAATTTCTCAGGGCTGCATGAGCCTTGGGGGACTTCACTACGTGCTGCAGGCATGGTGGCAGATATGTTGTTCCACATAGACGCATGGACAGGTTGGCCTTCGATTGTTGACGGGTTCCATCGGTCGCCTTCATTGACGGAGTTTCACATGTCAGACACGACATGATCGCCGTGAGGGCCAACCCGAAACGACTAATAGATAGCGTGCTTGTCAGCACGCAGCGCCGGCTGGTGCCTCCCAGGAAGTGCCCCAGACACAGCTCGAGCGAAGAACCCTTGGGGCCCCATCTTGGCCGCAGCCCACCTGCACCGTCTAATGACGAGGAGTTGGACGAGCAGGAGGACGAAGAGCGTGATGAGGACGAGGTGGAGGACGAGGTTGAGGGGGGACGAGGGGAGAGAACGAAGGGGAGGAGGAGGAGAGCGGAGGACGAAGGGGGAGGGTGTTAGGGAGGGAGGCCAGGAAGGAGGGGAGGAGGCGAGCAGGGGAGGAGAGAGGGGGGAGGGGAGGAGGAGATGAGGGGTGTTGGGAGGAGGGCGGAGGTGGGAAAAGGAGGATGAGGAGCATGAGGAGGACGTCGGCGTTCCCATGATAGTGCAGCTCAGGAACGGACCCTTCTGCGGTGCTCAAGTGACTGCCCGGCTTCTCGCCTGAGGGCATGCACCGGAAAAAGACACATCGTTGCAGAGCATTCCCGAGCGCTCTCAAAGCATTCCCGAGCCTGGAACGGCCGCGGCGTCCTAAACAGAATATGTCGTTTTACCGTGGCGTTGTTCGCCCCTCCACTCGCAGGGTTTTCTCACTCTGCTCCCCGACCGCCTCTGAGCCCTGGGACCCCTTTTTAATCTTCTCTTCCTACCTGGGAAGCCGGCTGGAGGGACAGCGGTGTGACATATGCAGAAAGAGAGAGAAAGAGAGAGAGAGAGAGAAAGAGGGGGGGATAGAGAGAGAGAGAGCAAGAGGGAGAGAGAGGGAGAGAGAGCGAAATAACAAACACAAGAGAAGACAGAGAGAGAGAGGGAGGGATAGAGAGTGAGAGAGAGAGGTAGAGAGAGAGACAGAGAGAGACCTAGAGAGAGGGAGAGAGAGGAAGAAAAAGAGAGCGAGAGACATAGAGAGAGAGGGAGATAAAGATAGAGTAGGCATACGGCCTTTCCTTCGGACGTACGTTGCTGGAGTGGGAGATGGGGAGCGAGGGTTATTGAGAGGGTCGCCCCCGTTGGCCATCTCTCACGGAACTGGGTGCCCCCAGACGCAAACCGGGGATGTATTCGTTTTTGCCGTTGGGATCGGACCGAAACAAAGCCGTCCGATTTTTAGAGGTGGGCCAGGGCGCACCTGGTACAATGGATGCCTCGCAGAAATTGCTGATTGGTCTGGCCTGACAGCGCGCGAGGTCACGGCTGGGCTCGGGCACGCGCAAAGTGCTTGGTGGCCGCCCGCTCAGGCGCCGCCCGCGCAGACGTCCTCCGTGCGTGCACCTGCGGGAGCGCAGCCAGCGCCACCTACGCCGCCGACCTTGGCGCCGCCTCAGCATGAGGAGGGCGGCTCGCGCCGCGCGCGTTCCCTGGTTCATGCGCCGCCACTCGAGACCACTCGGTGAATTCCGCCCGCCCTCTCGGGGGCGAGTCGCTCCCGCGGGAGCTGGCGCAAGTCCCCCGGTCTTGTCCCGCTTCGTCTTGTCTTGCCTTGTCTTGTCTCACGGCGTGCTTTGCCTCGCCCTGCCGTGCCGTGGCCCGGTCCAGCCATTTGTCATCGTGTTTTGCCATATTCCGTCTCATTGTATCTCAGTCCGTCGTATCTTGTCGGGTTTTGTTTGATCTGGTCTGCACTGTTCGGTTTGGTCGGTCGCGTATGATATATTGTTATGTCCTTTGGTTTCATGTGTTGTGTTTTGCATTGGCTCGTCACGGGCGGGTTCACATTGGCCTTGATCAGGCAAGGAATCCGTGGCAGTCAGCAAGCCTGGCTTTGTGTTCGGTCTCGTCTTGTCTGTCGGGGTCCGCTTGTTGTGCTTTGCCCCCCTTGCCCTTTGTAGTATGCGAGGCAGGTTAATCGCAAGGCGTGTTTGTGCCATGTCGGGGCTTTGCTCGTTCTCGGCGACATGTGCAACACCGACTCATGATAGCAGCTGCCTCTTCACCTACGTATGCACCCATAAGCTGTTTCATAGTTCTATATAGGACTCCTCGCGTTGCTCTCTGCGGAGCTTCTTGCAGGTCTCTTGGAGCTGTATTGGGGCTTTATTGCGGCTATTCTGAGCACCTGTGGGGCCCTCTTGAGGCTCTCCCAGAGCCACTTCGGCGGTGGACTTTCGTTTCGTCCTCTTTCAAATCGTCCTAACTATTTCGTTTAGTCCTCTTTGGAAGCCCGGATGGATCGACACTGGGCGAACCGAAGCGGGCGAATGGAAGCGGGCGAACCAAAACGGGCGAGCCGAAGCGGACGAAATCAAATTTGGACGCAGCGAAATCCAGACGACGGGAAGCGGAGCCTTTTCGGCGGCCTCTGCGGGCTTCTCGGACTGCGTCATCATGCTTATGCTTATACAGTTTGTTGTTCCTCTACAGAGGCTCGTCGGATTACCGCTCCGTCTGCCTTGGACGTCGTAGACGTTTGGTTATGACCCCGTTTACGGAGCCCCGATCTGAGGGTTCGTCGGTCTGCCATTCCGCCTGCTTCGCCGGTCGCGCACCCGGGCGCCCCATCGGAGAGACCCCGCCGCTGCTTCCCACTGGCGCGCGGACCGAGCGGCGGCTGGCCGACCGTTCAATTACGGGAAACTCTGCTCGCGCCAGAGACGATCCTCGCAGCATCGGTTTCGGAGACAGGGCGTGGTTTCGTTCAACCGATCCCCCTCCACCTTCACACCACCCCAGTTTGGGATGTCCCCCTCGAAGCCCTCAGAAAACAGCCTGAATCCCCATCTAGGGGGGAAATCGGCCAGTGTGGCCCAGGCCACGCCAATGGGGAGAGGGATCGGTTTGACGATGCTCAGGGGTTCTAGGCCTTGAGATCATCCTATGTCGGGACGGGGTGTGAGGTAGGTGAGAACCATCCTGCGCAAGTGATCTCACAGTTGTGTGCGAAAATTGTGTGCTGAGCTTCACGCCTGCCGCTATTGGGCGCAACTGCACTCGCAAATTACAAGGGTTCTGTCTTCTGGTACGTGCGGCTATTGTGGTACGTGCGGCTGTTCTCAGGGTTCTGCCGTGTACCATCACACACGATGTTATCCATCGCAGCGACCAGCTCTTCATGATCACGTGTGGTCCTCCCTCTTCTGCCCTGCCTTGTCCGCGAACTCCCCGTCCCCTCACCGCCTCTGCCTTCGGCGCTCTCCACTCTCTCCTGGTTCCTGACCGGCGTGCTCGAGCAGCGGCCGGCCGGCCGTCGCGCTGGGCGGCCCTTTTGCCCGGCTGCCGGCAGCACGGCCCCGCCCACTCTTCAGGAGCTGCCCAGACGAGAGCCGCAGCACCCCGTGCCTCAGGCGCTGCCGCAGCAGGCGCCCCAGGCGCAGCAGCAGCAGCAGGCGTCCCAGGCGCAGCCGCCGCTCTCAAGCAGTGGCGAAGCGTCCTGGCCCGCCTATAGGCCCACCAAAGAATGCTCTGATAATCTTCTGTGGTCTGCAAGAAATGTTCTTGGAACGTTTCTGGCTTGGAGTGCCTTGCTTTAGCACACTGGGTCTATGTTCTAAGAACAGTGTTATTGTTCTGAGAAGCTTCCGTGGTAGGCCTCTAGGAATGCCGGGGCGGTCGGTCCCTGCTCAACGTTCCAGCCGCAGGCGTCGCAGCTGGCGGCGGCGACGGCGCAGCAGGTGGCGGCACCTGCACCCCGGGTGCAGGTGGCGCCAGCGCGCGCACACGGCGCGGGAGGGTATTCAGAGGATGCCCCTGGGTGTCTGGGACGCGCGGGGGGAACGGGTAGCTGGAGGATCGGAGGAGATGGAGAAGGCAACTGAGGGGGGAGGAGGGCGAGGAGCGAGGAGGGAGGGGGAAGGGAAGAGGGAAGATGGAGGCCTCACGACGATGCCCAGCGGCATCACCGTGACCAACACGACGCTGACCAGCAGCACCACTGTCACCGGCACGACGGTTACCAGAAGCATCGCCGTGACCAGTACGACGGGTTCCAGGAGCAACATCGTGACCAGTGCGAACGTTCTGAAACAGCACTGCAAGCATCACCACGAGCAGAACCAGTGAGACCCGCATGACCACGAGCACACGAACGGGGGAATGGACCCCAGCCCCCACAGTCTTGGTGAAGGGGTTGTTCCGCCAACTGGTGTGCGCGGCACCTCATCAACTCTCGCAGTACCCAAGATCGGGGCCAGTGTGAGCGGCACCTTACCAACACTCGCAGGACCCCGTAGCCGCACGACGTGCCACCAGCACGACTACTGTTCCAACCAGCATGCCTACTACGACCACGACCGCGGCCACTACAGCGGCCACAATCGCCACCATGACATCTCCCACCATGACCGCCTCAGCCACCGCCTCAGCCACCACGATTGCGAGGACCAGCTCTTGGGCGCGGCCCCGTAGCCCCCACGAGGCCAACTACACCAGCTCTGCCGAGCTTTACTTCCACTCCCACCTCCGCAGCTGCGCCGCGAGCGCCTCTGGAGCGTCCAGTACGTCGTCCAGCTCCCTCGGCAGCAGCATGCCCCCAGGCTGGGTGGCCGCAGGTGCCTGCGGCGGTCGCAGCCCCGATAGGCAGGATCCACCGCGTGGTCTCTAACCGATGTCGACCACTTTGGACCTGGCTTACTTCTGCGTGCGCCCCCTGCCGGGCCTACTCGTCGACGCCATGAGCTGGGACCCTCCGGCGCTAGCCAGCGCGTACTTGGCCGAGTATCTCCACGCCGTTCTGGGCCAGACGATTCCCAGCGCGATCCATCCGGTCCTGGTGGTGGCGGCCTCCTGCACGCCCTCGGCGCCCACACGCCCTCGGCGCCTGTGAAATGCCTCGTGTTCGGTGCGGCCTTGCACGGAACTCCATTTCAGCGTGCTTTTTCCAGAGCGTGCAGTGCCGTTTTGCTCGGACATGTGCATTTCATGCAGCCGATCTGCATGTGCATCACAATAGTTGTCACCATGGCGCTGAGTCCTAGCTGGCTTGCTGATCTGGGCCGTGCTGTCGCCCGCTTTTCCTGCAGGTTCTGATTCGGACGTGTGCTGCACGTACCTCTTGGAGCGCCAAAGCTGCACGTGCCGCCGCGGAGGAGGGAGCCGCCAGCCAAGACCTCCCGAAAGCAGCAACGCACTGACTGCGAGGCCCGCGGCCGCTTTCATCCACAGGAGTCGCCATCGCAGCCGTTCGCAGCCTCCGCGAGCTCCCCTTCGTCAGTGTCAGCGCCAGCGGCGGCCCCGTCTTCTGGTCACGACGTAACCTTCCGCAACACGTTCGTCGAGACCCGTCCGCAACACGTTCGTCGAGACCGGACCTCCCCGAGATCCTTTGGGGCGCCGATTCTCAGGCAGAACCTCACTGAGGGAAACGACCCTGACGTGGGCTCCGTGGATTGGAGGCTGAAAGAAGTGGGCATTGACCCCGAGCGGGTTATTCACGTCGACGCGGGCGTCCCCTTGCCAGGAACGCCGCGCGGCCGTTTTGGCTGCCGCTGGCCGAGGCTCGGCGGCTCGGCAGGCCCTGGCCGCCGCTGCCCCTGACCAGCCAGCCGCGGCTGCTCCGCCGGCGGTGCCTGGTCAGGCCGCCGCGGCTGATGCTTCCGCCGGGGAACTTATGGCTGCCTCGCAGGCAGCCGCTGCGGTGCCCGCCGCGGCCTCCCCTGCCCCGCTGCCCGAGGCTCCACAGGCCGCGCCGCCGCTGGGCAGGGGGGCCTTCCCCCGGCGCCCGACCCTGCTCACCAGCGCAGGGTGCACGCGTCCGGGTGCACTGCCCAGTCCCTGGGTGTCCGCCAGTTGGGGGTGCCACCAAAACATGCGTCCACATTTGCACGAGCACGCCGCCGGGCGATTCCCCGGTCCCCCGCCAGTCCCGCCCGAGTACCTGCAAGAGAGCCGTTTGGAGCAGCACTCGGTTTGCCAGCGGTTTTTTGTCGACGCGCTTCAGCGGCACCTGTCCGCGATGCCGCCGTGCCGCACGCGCGGCCGCAGCCGGGGCAGCCGCCGCCCCTGCCGCCGGCGATCATTTGCGCGGCGGGCCCGCGGGTCTTCCCTCCCTCCAGGAAGCTTTCTCCGCGCGGTGCACCACCAAGCGCTACGTCCCGAGGGGCGCCCGGGACTTCTGGGCACGGTGCTTGGCGCAGACAATGGCCCACACCGTGCGCGACAACACCGAGGCTGCGTGGACTGAGCTTGCGATGCTCCCAAAGTGCGTCCTGCGCCCCAGCGCCCGCGGCGGCCGGGGCAGCAGGGCGACCGGCGAAGCGCGGGCGAAAGCGCGGTGCCGCCGCTGGGCTGGACGGGGATCGGGCTTCCCTGTGGGCCGAGGCCGTCGAGGCCCGCGCTTCCGAGCCCGCCTCGCAAGCACCCCAACGAGCAGGGAAGAGTGCGCAGCTCGCCGCAGACGCCCAGTGCTCCGAGAGCTGCTCGGCTTTGACCAGCGAGCCGCCCGCGGAGGTCACCCCCGACGTCGTCGAACAGATGCGCCGGAAGCACCCGCTCAGCCGCCGAGCCGCGGGCCCCGCCAGCCCCCCGGCTGTCCGCGCGGCTGCTGTCTTGCAGATGCGCGGGGGCGCGGTCCAGAGGAAAGCGCGGGCCTTTCCCTGGGGCTCAGCTGCTGGGCCAGCGGGCCACCGACCCCGACGCTTAAAAGACGCGGTGCTCAACGCGCCCGCAGGGGCGAGGTCGTCGACCAGCGCCGCAACTTCGTCAACCTCTGCGCCGGAGGGCAGGCCCCGCCAGCCGCGTCTGAGTCGCGGGCGCCCCCCTGGTGGCCCTGCCGAAGAAGGGCGGAGGCCTGCGCCCAGTCGCGTCGGAGAGGTGCTCCGGCGCCTCGTCGGCAAGCGCCTCTGCCGCGGTCCAGATCGGCGTCGCGGTCCCGGCGGCGCCGGGGCGGCGGCGCATGTCGCGCGCCAGTGGCTGGCCCGCCGCCCCGAGGACCAAGGGGGGGCGTGCGGAGCTGGACTTGTCCAACGCCTTCAACACCCTGGACAGGCAGGCAGGCTTTGCTCCGCGCGGTCCACGAAGAGTTTCCGGGCTGGCGCCCTGGGCCGACTGGTGCCACTCCCGCTTTTCGGTTCTTTTCTTGGGCAAGCAGACAGTCCGCTCCGAAAGCGGGGCGCAGCAGGGCGACCCCCTGGGGCCCTCGCTGTTCCCCCTCGCTCTGCAGCGCGCCGCCGAGGCCGCCCTCCGCGCGCCGCGCCGCGGCGCCGACGGCGCCGTCGATCTTCTACTTGGACGACGCGCTGGCCGTCGCGCGCCCCTTCCACTTGCCCGTGGCCAACCTCGCCGCGGCGGGCCTCCAACTGAGCGCCGGCCCGGGCAAGTGCGAAGAGGTCCCCACTGGCGGAGACGCCTCCGACGCGTCTCCGGGAGGCTTTCCGCCGCGCTGTCGCCTCCGCGCCGATCGCTGCTCCGAGCTGCTCGGCGCGCCAGTGCGGGGCGCGGACTTCTGCGCGGGGCGCGCCGAGCAGCGGGTCGCGGGCGCCACCGCGCTGCTGGATGTTCTGCAGGAGCTCGAAAACGCACAGGTCGCATTGCACCTCCTGCACCGGCGCGCCTCCTTCTGCAAGCTGGGCTACTCCGCGCGCGCGGCGCCGCCCGCCGCGCGCGCCGCCCCCCTGCTGGCCATGGGTTGCAATGTCTGGGCCTGTTAAGTGTTTAATCCCTGGGCCTTATCTTAGTCATAGAACCGGTTAAATCTAGGCATGCAGTGCCATTGGCTGCAAGATAACGCGGCACGGGGGGGGCGTGCGGTGAGTCTATGGCCCCGAAGTCTCATACGCCTGTTCCGCATATGCGGGTGCGGAGACGATTTTGACGTTGTCGCGGCGCAGATCGGGCAGCGAGGACTATGCGCATCCACTGCCCCAGGCCAGGCCCATCCTGGGCCCAGGAGCGGCGCGCGCGCCTTCCTGGCTTGGCCGGGGAGGCATATGCGCCGATCGTGGGCCCAGGATGGGCGTGGCTTGAGGCAGCGGATATGAATGGACCTCGTCGCCCTCGTAGGAATCAGGGCCGTTTGGAGCTTGGGCGGGCTTCCTCAACCCCCCCTTTCCTCCTTTCTCTTACCTCCGTTGCCACTTCGATGCCTCGAGTCGCGCGGCCCGCCTTTCGCCGGGGTGGCGATGGCAGCTGTTGCTGCGAAGGACCTGCTGGATGCGGCGCAGCGATTCCGTCGGCTTCCAAACGTTGCCGACACGTTCCCTGCGAGCGCGGCTGCCGTGGACACGGTCATCCGCGCGCTGGATTCCGAGGGCGCGTCTGACCTGGCCCAGAGAGGGAAGAGGACATTTGCATTGACCCGCGATGACCGGCATCGGCTTCTCAAGAGAGTTCGGTACCAGAGCGTTCAACGGGCACTTTCCGAACGTCGGTATCAGGAAGAATTTGCCGCCCATTCTGGTGGTCTCATCAATTTCATGTGGGTGGTCCGAGCAGCTTTTTCCCCTCCCAGCGTATCCCTGCGCAGTGTCGCCCGCATGTGTAGAGATTTTAGCATGGATGGTATCGCTTCTGTCAGCTACACTTCTGTCAGTCGCATTCGCGATGCGATGGCAGAGATCGTGAAGCAGATGAATATGCAACAGGTCACGAAGGCAGCATCGGCAGCGCCCGCTGCAACCCTGTTCCTACCGCACGTGCACGACGAGGCTTCCATGCGGGTCCGCTCCTACGTCAAGAGGGAGGACGACCGGTTTGTGTTCCATGGCCCGCAGCTTGCAAGGAGCCGCAGCAGTAAAGTACAGAACAACGTCGTGAAGTGCATCATCGGGGATGCGGAGATCGACGTTTGGTGCGAGCTTCAGCCCCTTCTTCGGAAGGACGCGGCGACGATCGCGCATGCGCTGCGGTCGGTGGTGATGCGAGTGGCGCGAGCGGCCCTGGATGGACGCCCGCGCGGGAGCTCTCTCAGGATCGTGCACATGCTGACCGGCGATTCCATTTTCACCAATGGCGCAGCAGCGAGAAGGTTGTACGCCAGCTTGTTGGCTGAATGCAACATCACCTACCGCCTCATTGTCATCCCTTGTGCATCCCATCTGGTCAACCTCGTCGTGGCCATTGCGCTGCGTGGGAAGATCCTCAAGGATCCAATTAACTCGAGCATTCTGCTCGCAACTTGCTCGAGGTTGTTCAAACACCTCATGAGCGACCATAACGTGGAGGTTTGTCGATCATTCCGGGAGTTTGTGGCCGCAAAGTTGCAGAAGGCGCGCTTGGATCCACCCGCCCAGGCTGCCCGCGACGAACGAGTGGGTCGTCTCGTTTCTCTCTACGGCGATGAGGTATTGCCGAAGGGCCTCTTGAAGTTCTACTGCTTATCCCTGGATCGGCCGACGTACTGTTGCTCAGACCCCGACGCTGTCGACATCAGAGTATTGAGAGGCGAGCTCCGGCAGGCCTTGCAGAAAAGGGTCCTGGTTGTCGAAGAGCATCCAACTTTAAGCAGATTTTGGACCTTTGGTTGGTGCGTGCAAACATTACTCTTGATTGATATGCTTAATATCCCTCCTGGGGCATTCACGGTTCAGACTATTCAGCCAAGAAAAGAGCAACGAAAACGCTTGGTTGCAGTCAAGGCTTTCTGGTCTCGACCTGAGACGGCGGGTGAGTTGAGAATCGCTGTGCTCTGTTTGCGCATTAGTCTGTATTGCCAGAACATGGTATCGCAGGAGAAGGGGGCCAAGACCTCAGTGCTGGTGTCCCTTTCGTCAGGCGCAATTCAACAGAAAGCGGGGAAACTGCTGTCGCATTTGCTTGGCCGCGTGGGGGGCGACCCCAAATTGCCTGCCGCAGGGGCGTGCATGTCGCTGTTAACCACTTATGGGCACGTCTTGCTGCGTTTGGGGCAGTTCGGGAAGTGCCCCTGCAAATTATGGCGTATATCTGCTGAGTACAACCCGAACGGGTGGCCTCAGGCGTGCGGCGACTTCCTCGAGGCGCCGGCCGAGGAACTTGACATTGGATACAGCTCTTGGCTGCAGAAAGAAGCGAAGAGCAGAGGGTCCGAGGCCGACGCCGTCACGTTCCTGATGTCCGCGGCCGTGCAGGAGGAGGTGGCGACCATTGCCCGCGCCATGCTGATGACCAGCCTGGGCGTTGAGCGCAAGCGCGCAGCGGATGAGAGAAACGAGGCGTCCAGACTCATAACTATCGGCCGGGCAAGTCGGAACGCGATCTTGCGGCAGTACATGGCGTGGAAGGAGACGGCGATGGGCGCCCCTAAGCGCCCTGTGAAGCAGGTCAAGCAGCGCACGAACCCTCGCGCCGTGGCTCTGAGTTGGAACCCTGGCTTGGTGACTGCAGTGCCTTCTGAGAGCGGGAAGCGGCCGCCCGCGCTGTTCGTGGACGAGGAAGCGCTCGCGGCGTACATGGCCGTGAACCGAGCGGCGCTGGAGGCAGAGGTGCAGCGGCGACGGCAGACCGCGCTTCGGCCATTGAGCACCAACGGGCAGTTCCCTGTATCAAACAGGGAGCGGTTGACCTGGCTGAAAGAGAACGAGGAAGCGTATCGACGCTTCCAGACAACAGCGGGCTCCGCTCGCAGTTCGGCGAGCCAGAGAATCGCGCCCGACAGGGAGTACCCTGCGTGCGCCAGGTTGCAGCCAGTCAGCGATGAGCCCCCCGTGGCCTGGCGACATCTGCTCAGCGCCTGGGCGCCCGGCTTCTTCTGTATCCAGGCGGGCGCGACGAAATGGGTAGTGTTCCACGTGTCCAGAGGAAAGCGCTCTCTGGTTGTACCCCTTCATGCCGAGGGTGGAACTTGGGAGTTGGTCTTGACGACCAGCATGTGCGACCAATATCTGGACGTGTACGAGTTCTGCGTGCGTTTCGGAGTGCCGTCAGCTGCCGTCGATCTTGTGTCTGTATACCGGCTTGGGCCTCGTTTGGAATGCTCGTATCCAGGCAAGATGTTGAGCTTTCGGTTTCCGATGGCTTACCTCGTGGATGCGGGCGATCTCCCCCGGAAGGCCCGGCGCGAGTCCGACGCCGAGGCGTCCGACTCCGACGAGGTGGAAGGCGCCCCCTCGGACGACTCCGACATTCAATCTCTCGCCAGCGAGGCCGACCCAGGGGCGGAGTCTGAGGCCGAGGGCGTTGACATCGCGGAAGCCGCCGGGGGCGCCGCAGAGGAGGCAGAGGAGGCAGGGGGCGGCGAAGACGACGACGAGGCGCACGCGAATGCTGAGAGGGAGCGGGTCGAGGGGCACCCGTTCGTGATCTGGACCAATGGGTTCTTCACTCTCAGCGACAATCCAAAGTGGGGAGATATCAAGATAAGAGCACTGCCCAGGTGGTGCGTCGAGGGGCTCATGGGCGAAAATATACGAGGGGATCCCACCAGACAGATGCCCAAGGCCGTTGCGCCAGCGCATTTTCACGAGCCTCGAGACCGACCGTCGAGGTCGCGCGCAGTCTTGCGCGCCTGGGCGCTCTGGCGCGCCAGGCAGAGAGGATTCGCAGAGGGTTCTGCGTATCGTCGGCGCGTCTTCGACTTGGAGCTGGGGAAACTGCGCGATGAGTTAGCCGCCTTGGGGCACGGCGGCCGCGCTGGGGACGCAGACGCTGACGCGTGGATCGAGGCGTGGGCCCCCGAGGCCCTCGCTTGAAAACGATGCTCTGTCCTTCCGCAACCGCCCCCTCTCCTTGCGCCAGTTCCTCCCCGCCCAACCCCGCGCGAACCCAGCCTGCGCATCTCAAAACGACTCCGACTGGAGAGGTCTTGATCGGGGACGTTTGGGAGAACGAACTGACATCAAAATGGAGATATCTTGGAGCCGTCTCGGGGCCATCTTGGAGCCGCCCGTCGTGCAAAACAGACCAATCTAGAGTATACTTACTTTGCAGTGGGAACGTAATTTTACTGGGGGGGAGGGTACCCCAACCAGAGGGGGGTTCTGACCGACCCTCACGAGGATCCCGGCCGTCCTGGCGCGCGGGAGATCTCTGCCAGCCCTGTGCGCCAGTTGTCGTTCGAAAAGTGGCGACCCTCGTTCTTCTGCATCCATCTTGGTCGCCCTCCCCCTTCCCTTCCTCCCTTTCTTCTCCCTTCTCTCGAATGTCAGAATGATGGTAACGAGGCTGAGTTCGGGTCGTGCCCCCAAGAGCGGGAAACCCCGCCCGCCCGAGATTCGAGGGGACACCGAGGTTGGCCAGGGGCAGCCCTCACGCCCAGAGTGAGGGCTGCTCGCGGCTGCCCCTGGCGGTCGCCCTTGGAGGTCGCTCTCGGACCCCTTTTGTGGTGTTATCCGCTCCAGGCTGGCGCCTACCGCCCCCCTGTCGTATGGATAGGGTCTTGGAGTCGTCTTGGCTGCGCTGCTGCGCTCGGGATCGGCCTGAGGGCTGATCAGTCTCGAGATCGACCTATGGGTTGATCAAGTCGCGGGGCCTCGGGAGATCCTGGGTCCTCTTCTCGCCGATTCGGCCCCCTCCCGTTCCTATGGGTTCGGTTGGGGCTGCTGGACTTGTATCCTTTATTATCCCCTTTGCCTTCCTTCCGCCTCCATTTGTTCCTCTCCTTCCCCTCCCATTCCTTCCTTCCCCCTCCCCCTTCCTCCCCCTTTCGTCGCCTGCTCCTTCCCTCCTCGTTTTTGCTTCCATTTTACTCCCCCTTCCTTCTGTCCCTCCTTTTGCTCGTCCCCGTCCTGCTCCGCGTTCTCGTCGTCGTCGTCGCCGCCTTCCTCCTCCTCCTCCTCCTCCTCCTCCTCGTCCTCGTCCTCCTCCTCGTCCTCCTCCTCCTCCTCCTCCTCCTTTTCCTCCTCCTCCTCCCCCTCCTCCCGTCAAGGTCAGATTCATAGACCCCGTGAGCTCCAGGGTTAGAGGGTGGTCTCGGATTCTTCAGTTGGTTGGAGGGTTTCCCCAGCCATTTTGGCTCAAATCAATCATGAAGCGCCGGTCCTCAGGCCCAGCCGGCGGCAGGCCGTCTGCGATGGACGACATCGCGGGGCTCGTGCGGGACGGCACCCTCCGGTCTCCGGATGACGTGCGGGCGCATCTGTCCGGCAACCATGGGCTGCACGCCACGAACCTCCGCGCTGCCCTCAAGGAGCCTGTGCCGCACAACCCGCTGGTGCCCGTATTCTTGTCCATGGCCAAGAAGGGCCAACAGCCTGTTGATGTCTTCGCTTCTTTAGTGACCGGCCTGATCACTCTGTGCGAGGCGGCGCGAGTGGCCAAGGAGCACGACGTAGACATCGATGCCGTCGCTGTGTCGCAGCCGTTCCCGGGATACGAACGAGTGAGACACGCTCGTTTTCCATTGGCCGAGCTGGCTTGGACCAAGAAGCAGCGCTCTGCGAATTGGCCAACGGTGGACGCCGTGACGCTGGACGTGTTTGTCCGTAAGTTCCAGCTGCGCAACATCAACTTCGCGCACGACCCGCCCGTCCGTAATTTCGTCGCGACCATGAAGGTGCTCGAGGGCCGCCCGGGCGCGACCGACAGCAGCCTGACCTTGGCGGCGATGTGCATGGCGTCCGGCCGCGGGCACGAGGTGCAGAAGGCGTACTTCGATGGCCGGTTGGGCCTCCACGAGTACACCCACCATGGCATCAGGGCTCTGGAGGACGACTTGAAGGCGTGCAAGTTGTCGGCGCTCGGCGACGGCGCGACCACGGAGACCAAGCTGGGGGCCAGCACGTCTTCGTACTTCTGCAGCCGCCTGCTGGAGTCCATCAAGGAATTGGCGGACGACGAGGCGCGAGTGGGGCAGCTCATCGCCGCCACCACGGCGTCGGAGGCGGCAGCTGTGCTCCGGCAGGTCCGGGGGTACGGTCAGCCTTTCCGGTCGGGGCACGTCGCCCTCTGGCTCTCGGCTTGGCGAGGCTTGCATGTGGACATGAAGCCAGAGGAGACCATCGGCCCCAACCCGAAGAGTTTCCTCGCTTGGGCGAAGGAGCTCGAGTCGCTGGGGTACGGGGGCTTCAACTTTGAGGAGCTCCTGGCCGCGGTGCGCCAGTTGTGGGGGCGCCAGACGGTAGGCGGCGGCGGCTTCCGCGTGGCCGCGGCGGGCGGCCCTGTGGCTGTTCCCATGATGCCGCCGCCAGGCGTGGAGACGTTGCAGTTCACGTGGTGCAAGACTGTGCAGTTAGTCCAGTTTCTGGGGTGGTGCAAGCCTACGCGCTGGCGCCAGCCGTCCGGCGTTGCCTTGCTTGCCTGATCGCTGCGTGGGTGTAGCCAGCGAGTGCGCTCAAAAGCTTCCGCGACGGTGCGCCGCGCGCAGCGACGGGCCGCTCTTGCGATCACAATTGAACGCTATATAGCACTATTCCTCGTCATGTAGCCCTCGAGCGCTTCTTCGACCATATAGTGCGATACAGAGTCATATAGAGTGTTAAACAGTGATATATAGTGTGATATAGTGGCATATAGTGTCCCTGGGCTGTGGGTCAGGGGCCTGTTGGATGCATCTGTGGGTCTCTTGGGGTGCCTCGCAGGGGGCTTCTAGGACGGCTCTTGGAGCCACCTCGGGGGCTCTTAGGGGCCTCTCGAGTGCTTCTCAAGGGCCTTTTCGGGGCTTCTTGGAGGCCTCTTGGGGCCTCTGCGGGGGCGCCTCGGGGGCTTCTGGGGGGCTCTCGGGGCCACCTTTTGGGCCCTAAATGGTACCGGGAATAGCCCAGAGGCAGTATAATTAATTTTCCATGCCGACGTAATTTTATTCTCGCCACCCAGCAAGGGGGCGTTCCGAGCGGCCCTGGCGCGTTCGCCCCCCCCCGCCCCAATCCCTGCCGCACTCGGCCCCTCTCGCCGGCGTCCGAACCCTGCGCCTGACGGCCTGCAGCGATCGTCGGAGCGCTACTGCTCTGGGCGCGCTGCCAAGCCGAGAGCCGGGGGGGGAAGGAGAAGGGGGAGGAGGAGGAGGAGGAGGAGGAAGAGGAGGAGGGGGAGGAGGAGGAGGAGGAGGAGGAGGAGGGGGGCGGGGAGGGGGAGGGGGGGGAGGAGGAGGTCCCCGCCTCTTTTGCCGCGGAGCGACAGGGGGCGAGGATGCCGCCGCCGTCGGCGCCACCAGCCGCCGCCACAGCCGCCGCCGCCGCCGCCGCCGCCCCCGCCGCCGCAGCCGTCGTCGTCGTCGTCGTCGTCGTCGTCGTCGTCGTCGTCTTCGTCGTCGTCGCCTTCGCCGCCGCCGTCGTCGTCGTCGTCGTCGTCGTCGTCGTCGTCGTCGCCGCCGCCGTCGTCGTCGTCGTCGTCGTCGTCGTCGTCGTCTTCGTCTTCGTCGTCGTCTTCGTCGTCGTCGTGACCGCCGTCGTCGTCGCGGTCGTCGTCGCCGCCGCCGCCGCTGGAGTCGTCGCCACCGCCGCCGGCGCCACCAGACGCCGCCGCGTCGTCGTCGTCGTCGTCGTCGTCGTCGTCGTCGTGGTCGTCGTCGTCGTCGTCGTCGTCGTCGTCGTCGTCGTCGTCGTCGTCGTCGCCGCCGCCGCCGCCGCCGCCGCCGCCGCCGGAGTCGTCGTCGTCGTCGTCGTCGTCGTCGTCGTCGTCGTCGTCGTCGCGGGCGCGTGGCAGGGCGGGCCCCGCCTGTTTCGCCGCGGAGCGACGGGCCGAGGGTGGGGTGGGGTGCGCACCCCTCTCCTCGTCGCCGCTGGTGGGGTCTCGTCAACGCGGCGCTGGACGCGTAAGCTGGCACGCCAGGCAGACAGGCCCGCAAGCGAGCGAGGTATCACACAGGGCCTCTGGATCTCAAATGTCTCACGGGTCTCGGGGGAACCAGGGTCTAAGATTCTCATGGCCTCAGGGGTGTCAGGGCCGTCGGGGTTTCAAAGGGTATCGAGTGTCTCAGGTGCCTCGGCGGTCTCAGGGGCCTCAGAGGGCGTCAGCGTTTCAATGCCTCTGGGTCTCAGGATACCCTCGTGGCCTCGGGGGTCTCAGGGCCGTAAGGGTATCAGAGGTTGTCGAGTTTCTCAGGGGCCTCAGCGGTCTCGGGGGCCTCAGAGGGTTTCAAGGGTTTCATTGGGTCTCATTGAGGTCTCAAGGGCATCAGCGTGTCAGGGTCTCGGGGGCTTCAGGGTCCGAGGGCCTCGTGGGTCTCAGGGTCTGAGGGCCTCATGTGCTCGAGCGCTTCAGCGCCGTAGGGTCTCAGAGGGACTCGAGTGTCTCATGGGTATGCGGCCTCGGGGGCTTCAGAGGGTCCCAGGTGTCTCAGAGGTCTCATAGAGGCCTCAATTGCTTCAGCGCCTCACCGGTCTCGGGGTCAGGGCCTTAGGGGCCCGCTGCGTTGGTATCGTCGTAGCCGTCACCATTACAATCATCATCATCATGATTTTTCGGCTCGAGCCTGCTAGTCAAGAGGGCGTTGCTTTCACACGGTGCGGTAACAGAGGCTCGCGGCGCCAAAGAACTGCAATGCCAACCGCGCCCCAAGTGGACCCCCTCGACGTCCAGGAGGCGCTTGCCACCGTGACCCCCGAGCAAGCGCTGTCGGCGGAGACTGATGTTGGGAAGCTGAAGCCGCCCGCTGGTGGATGGCCCAGGGCCGTGGGCGAAATGGCCCGCCTCTACGTCGCTGTGTCCATGGTGAAGCGAGCGAACCAACCGAACGTGAAGCCGAGGGTAACCCCGCAGCTCCTGGGGAACCTGGTGTCGAAAGTTACCGTGGTGGCGAAGCGTGCCAAGTGGT